TATAATTTTCTTATAAAGATAATAATTAATTATTTTGTTAGAATTCGATAATTATCCTAATTATATTTTAGATTTTTTATATTTTAAAATGAGATGTTTATTCTCTATTTGATTATGTTTATCCGCAGTTAGTTACACGAATTCAAACATGGAGCTTTAATAAGTTGTACTTCATGCATTAAAAAAATGGATTTTAAGAGTTTTTGTCAAATGATTTATAATATTATATATTTACATGTGAATATATTTATGATTAAGAACCGATATAACTTGTTTAACAAAATACTAGTTGTGTGCCCCCGCAATGCGACGGGATGTAAAATTTTAAAAAGATGTAAGTGGGCATATCGATTACAGATAAAGATTTGTATTTGAAATTGTCATGCTCTACACCATTGATAGTTTCATATTCAATTGATTTGGGAGAAACTGAAACAATCCAATAATCTATTTGATGTTGAAATTTGACAATCGATTTATAAGAAAATTTGACAACCGATCATATAAAATTACTTATTTTAAAAGTAATTTTAATTCTTTCAATAATCAAGAATCCATATAATAAATCGATCTCACTTAACTTGCCTAGGTCTCTTCACAAGTGATCAATTTGTCAATTATCAAAAACACTAAAGTGAGAAATGTAAATTCAATTTAAAATCCAAAAAACTTGGTTACACCAACAGAAAGAAAGTGACATCTTTTATTGAACTGTAAAAGCAAACAAAATCACCACAGCAGACGCATAATTTACACAAGAGGAAAGTGTTGGACAGTTGTATCTTTCTGCATTCACTGCAAGCTAAAAACAAACCTATGGATTCAACAAATGAGGCCTTCAAACCCATGATCTAACACAAAGCAGAGCTATCAACTCCTTCAACCATCATCACCCTTGATTTTCAGTCTTGCTTTGTGCTTCACCTTTGATTTTGATTTGGCTTTGCCTTTTGGTTTCAGATTCGTTTTGGCATTCGGGTTATGTTGCAGGATTATGGTTAGGCTTCACTATGATGCAGGTGATGTTATCACAGCTTCTACGGTTAAAAACGGTCTCAGTCAACCTTTTAGCTGCTGCCTCTAGTTCGTCTTTAGTTTGTGCAAGTGAGACAACATCCTGATAAAAGAGACCGGCAACATTTTAGTGTACAACCATGCATCAGCTAATGAATACCCATTGAACCTATATCTTACTTCTCTCAGAATACTCTTAACCTTGTGCAAAATGTATCCCAAGTACCCTGCCTCATCATATATAAAGTCTATAAGCCACATAACATGCCACCACAATGTTTAAAGCAGTTTCACGAGATGCACAGATTGTAAAGTAAATGTGAAAAAAGAACTACACAGAGGCCATCCATACTTTGTATTAGAACATGTGCAACATTAGATAAAAACCACAAAAACGAATGGCCACAAGATATAATGATGGCAAGAAAAGAAAAAAAAATATAATCAAATGAAGCCCATCACACAGTTTGATCATTGGCTCCCATCCAAGCAGTTTATTTGCATTTGTGATGTTTGGCTTTCTCTACCTGGATTATCATGTGTTTTTCTACCAACTTAATCTCTATCCTTGGATTGATTAGCTGTATTTTCGGTTAATTTTTTCATATTTTTCAGATGCTAATGATGATTTTCGAAAGAATACAAGAAAAAGACCAACCTCCTGCGCTATTTCAGCACGTTCAATCATTGTAAATTCATTTTAATTACAAATGTTGATCAGTCCAGTATTTATCCTCTTCCATCAACCAAATAATCCCATCAACCTTTATCAACCTGTAATTGGATAAACGTCCAAAGAAATATGATTACTTTTAAAGTTTTGGGTAGGAAAGCAATGAAGCAAGTTAGGCTC